AATGTTTGTGTAATTTCTCTGGTTGGCCCGTAAATCTCTGGGCTCTCCGGGGAGCAGGTCCTTCTGGGAGGGGATTTATTTGCCAGTGTCATTGTGACTTAAAGCACAATTTTGTCAGGTTATTTTTAGCTGGGTGAAACAGCCGAGGAGAGGCCATAATTAAAGTAGTTCATTAACATATTAACAGGACCCTTGCAAATTTAATCTCCTGCACTGCGCTGACGGCTGGTTAATGAGATGTGGAGTGAAGGCCTGTTTGTCACTGCTCTGGCAGCGCCAGTGGTTACAAGTGACAGCAGTGGCTAAGCGTGCCACCCTGGGGGCTCRCAGAGGGGTTCCTGCAGCACCACTTCCATCAAGAGGTGGCAGAAATAATCCAGCTGGAAAGGCAGGAAGCGAGGATTCAGGGGGCAGCAGCTGTGCCATCCAGCGATGCGCTCAGGAATGGCTTTGCCTGCACACACATGCCCTGGGGATGGTTTGTTCTCCTTTGCTGCCTGCCAYGAGCTCAATTCTGGGTAGTTTTCTTTCCCGAAAAGCACAAAACCCTCAGATCCCCCATGTACAGTGCCAGGGAATGCAGCCTGGCCCGGGAGCAGCTGCGATATTCCGCTTCCTGCCTACAAAGGCTTCAGTCCCAAAGCACCACGGGTGGGGAGGGTGCTTGCGGCTGCGAGGACAGGGACTTGTTGTGACTCGGAGCAAGGACAGCTCTTGGATCTGCAGGGCAGGAAGCCCATTGTTTCAGCACCCATTGTTCACTGGAAGGGGACTGTAAACAATCTTTGTGTCTGAAAACATCCAAACACTTGATAATTTGATAATACTCAGGGGCTTCCTTGGGACAGGACTTCCCAGGGCTGATGTCCTTTTGTCTTCCCCCTCCTTGGCAGGTTGTCAGCACTGCTGGAGTTTGCTGAAGAAAAAATGAAAGTCAACTATGTCTTCATCTGCTTCAGAAAAAGCAGAGAAGATCGAGGTGAGGGCTGGCCCTGCACTCAGGTTTGCTCCTGACATTCCACACAGTGCTGCTGAAGCTGTAGAGAAACTCGGTAATCCCAGGGCACGACCCACAGGACCCTCCTGGTGCAGGGGTTGTTATGTGCTGAATTCTTGTGGGAATAGTTTCCTGAGAAGGAAATAAGCCCTTTCTGGAGGGCGAGGATGAGGGTGTGTTGTGGTTTCTCCAGCAGACCTTCTGCATGGGGCTTGGAGCAACCTGGTTTAATGGAAGTTGTCCCTGCCCATGGCAGTGGGGTGGAACTGGATGAGCTTTAAGGTCCCTTCCAGTCCAAACCAGTCTGGGACTCCATGATAAGATCTGCTTTGCTGTCCTGCCATTAAATACTCYGGTGCTTCTAAATGCTCCTGAAAAAAGCTGCTCCTGAATGATTTGGAGGGATTTCCTCATCCAGAATCAGTTAACATTGCTCTTTTGGTGAGCAGTGAAGTCTCTGTTTGGCACCAACCTGCTGTGGCTGGAAAATGAAACCAGGGAGGTGTTATTAGATGGAAAACAAGCACTTAGAGCCTGTTGCTCTGAAATTCATYGGCTTTTTAAAGATCTCCTGGCACTTTTGTCCTTCCCAGGCTTACAGGTAATCCTGGCGCTGGTTCAAGATGCTTAGGGCTTCAGGGGCTGCATTAGGATCTAAAGATAGATGTGTTGGGTGAGGGATTATAACCCTAGGGGCTGGAGGAGGTACTAGGCTGGGGACGTGTCACCCTAAATCCCACCAGACTCAGGCTGTATCCTGGCAAGTAATTCCAGCCCCAATGCTAATTTTACTCGGCAGCTTCATGAGCTGCACTCTGGCTTCTCCGAAATGAAAGGCCTTAGTAGAGCTAAGCTGAGCTGAGCCCRAGAAGATGTCATCATCCCATATTACCATGCCAAGAATAATTTCCAAATCAAGTCCTGGCTGTTATGTCACCACCAGTGCCAGTTGCGTAGGTGGCCCCCRCGGAGGCTGGGGACAGGGGACAGCCAATGCCAGCGGTTGTTTTAGGAGTTCTAGAGTGCTCCAGATCCTGGCTCCTTGTCTATGCAGCTGAAATTCAGTGCTCCAGGAGCTCCTCCACATGGTCACTCAGTGTCCTGGAGCTGTGTAGGGATGGACACTGCACGAGGGTGAGTGTCACAGGTCACAGGGAAGCCATTGCTTCAGTGACACAGGCACAGTGTCAAGAGAACTGTGTCTGACAGCCCCAAGGTGTGGGGACTTCTGGGCTGGCCTTGCTCTGAACTCTCTCACGTAACCCACAGTGGTTTTCCTGGGGTCCCACCCCCAGCTGTGCAGAGCTGTCTGGAGTCTCCACTGAGCTCCAGGACCTCTGTGTGGAGACAGCAAATGTCCGCCTCGTCCCTGAACAGGTTCCTGTTGCTGTCTGTCCCACTGCCAGCACTCCAGAGGTGCTGGAGCAGGATAAAGCAAGGGATGGCCACGTGCACCTTGRGAAAGCAGGGATGTACAGCTGGTACAGGCAGACAACCAACCATTGCTACTTCTCACAGGGGACAGAAACATTGCAGGAGAAACAAGGACAAAGCTGCTCCGCTGCACAGCTAAAATCCCTTCATACTTAGGAGCATCGATGAGCCCAGGAGGAGACAAAATCCCCTGTTGGAGAGGGCTGTGCTGCTCTGTACAGGGAGCTCTGGGTGCCCTCACAGAGGGTGTCCTATGGCTCAAAGGAGAGGSGGGTAAAGAGGATTATTCCTGCTGGTAACAGATCTCCTTCTCTTTGGTAGCTCCACTCCTGAAGACATTCAGCTTTTTGGGCTTTGAGATCGTGCGGCCTGGCCATCCCGCTGTCCCATCGCGGCCGGACGTGATGTTCATGGTGTACCCCCTGGATCAGAGCTCTTCCTCTGACGAAGAATAGCTGCACAGGGGGACTCCAGCGGGACCCCAACATGCTGTGGAGGGGAGAGAGGGTTCCACCTCCTTTCCTGAGGAAAGGGAAGCCAAGCTTCTGTTGGACTGCATTTCTCATTGTTAGATTGGGCTGTGTATCCCCAGAGTTGACTCTCATTGAAACATTGCCTAGAGAACTATCTATCACACATGTAACCATCACTAGGAAAAGGAAGATGTTTATGAACTGGCATAGGAGCTCTTCCCGTGCAGCTGCATGGTGTGGGAGCCCCGGGGTCGGTACCACCTCCGGGACTCCTCTGAAGCCGTGTCTGCCTCCTGCCCGCCYGGCGTGGGCTCAGCTGGGACACGACCTGTTCATTTCCCACTCAAGACTTCAAAAACAGCCTGGTTTGGTGTGGGGCACGTGCAGGAGACGCTCAAGTTTATCCTTTAACACTACATTAAACCCCCCGTGCGTCTCCACTCCGATGCTGGTTTAACTGCTCTAACCRTTTTTTCCCTTTTTTTGAAACTTCTTGCTCTTCCAGCTTTTGTTTTATGCGGTCTTAACCCTGTTCCATGTTCCCATTGCACTATCACAGCGTTCAATAAAAGGGGCATTCAGATGAACTTCACACACCTGGGGCTGCTTATTTGTGAGGAATGCTCTCCTGACCTGCACCAACATAGTTGGAATGGTCCAAAGGGCCAAGCAAAGCTCCTGCCTTTACCCTCCACCCCAGAACGGGCCCAGAGCAACCCTAAGTTTTCATTTCTGCTCCTGCTCACCTTCCCACAGGAATGAGCTCAAGGCTTGAGATGCCACCAGTGCTGTATCCAAACCAAAGGGTTGTGTGGGGGCTGGCATGCTCTCCTGATCCAGGGGCTGTTCTGGGAAGGCCGTGGTGCTGGCAGGAAGGCACAGCTCAGCCCAGCCTTGTCCAGTGCTGAAGAAGAAGGTGCCCTGTCCCTGTGGCATGGACTGTCCTGGCTGTCTCTGTCAGGCTGCAGGGAAGGGGGATGTGTCCCAGGGCTGTGACCTCAGCTCTTCCTGGCCTGGCKCCTTGGTTGTGGGAGTGTCCCTGTTGCACTCTCGCCCTTTGGCAGAGGATTCTGCTGGAAGCTGGACCTGAGTCATTCCATAACCATCAAGGTCAGTGTTTGATGTGGGAGAAAAGCACGGCTGGGAKAGGAGTGTGTGTGAATAAATCAGCTTTGGGTCTCTTGTCCTCTGTCCCCTCCACACAACCAAGGGGCCAAAGGGAGCTCTGCTCYCTCCAGTAGCACATGAGACCCTACCTGGCTTTAAAACCCGAGCTGGGCAGTGCTGATGGACTTCAGACACAGGATCCTTTGGGAATGGGCTGAGACTGCTGAGTGCTGCTTTSTCGGCTGGAGAAGGGCCCAGTTTYACCCTTCTTGCAGCTGGAGGTTTCYGCCACTCCAGCCCGAGACTGGCGTGTGCCAGGGGCCTGCTGCCACCCCAGGGTGTCCAGGCTGGCACATCCCAGGCAACAGGGTGGGAACCACTTTGCACCTTTGAACTGGTAAAATGGACTGGTAAAGTGCAGGATTCTGGTCACAGGAGCTGGAGTGAGGCCAATCCGCACTCTTCATTGTGCTGGAGACACGAGGCTGTGCCACTGTGTGCGCTCTCTGACAATTCCAAATCCTCTCCTGCCTTGCCTCGAGTAAAAGTGGGCAAATGTGGATTTCTCAGATAAAATGCTGTCAGAAACACCCTCTGGGAAATCTGGAAAGTGTTTCTGGTGTCCCTGGGTGCTGCCTCACACACGGATTACCTCTGGCGAAGCTGAAAGAGCCAAGCCCTGCCCTGCTCGTCCAGTGCCTTCTCTGCCCCGGGGCCATGGTGTAGGGCAGAGCCTTGGTGCCCARGGGTTCAAGCCTGGGGGGTTCTGCCTCAATTTATTGGATCTGAGTTCAGCTGCAGCGCCTGCCGGAGCCATCAGTGCTAGGGCAAGCCAGGTCCGGGGGCGCAGAGCAGGAACCTTGGATAAATGAGCACCAGGAGACTTCTCAGATGCCTGAGATGGGGAAACCCTCTCTCCCACCCCCAAAAATCACTGGCCACAGCTTTTGGGGCTAAAGGACCAGACTTGAAGGAAGAGGAAGAAAAAGCCACCCTCACAGGTTTGTGATTGTCTCTTAAAAAGATTTATTCTTCCTCCTTGCCTAAATGTACAAAGGCAAGAAGAGTACAGTTTGTATATATATATATTTATATATATATATATAAAAAAACAAGGAACTCGGTAATAATGTACACTTTACAGAAGGGCAGAGTCAGGAAGACTGAAATGAAACCCAACACAGCAACGCCAATGGAAACAAGCTATAAACACCAACGGTCTGACGCTGGGGCCAGGGGCGGTCCCGCAGGCAACAACTGGCCCAGAGAACCCGGGAAACGTCAAACCTCAAACCTATTCTGCATAAACCGTTGTTTCATTTAACACCTAAAGGGAGACTCAACTGGGACCCAAGTGGGAAGGTGGGGAGCAGCCCCCCGACCCCCTCCAACTGCCAGCAGAGCCTGCAGCACCCCCCAACACCCCCAGGCACCTCCTGTGCGCCCCTGGAGCCGCTGTGGGCCCCGGCCRTGCGGGGAGCCGGGCTGTGCCGGGCCGGCCGAGGCTGGAGGTAGGAGCAGCCAGCGGGACACTCCTCCACGGGTGGGATGTGGGGCTCTCCAAAGCACCCCGAGCCCGCCGGTCCCCAGCCCCGTGGCTGCGTGTGGCTCTGGTGGGYGCGGGGTGGGTCCATCACCCACCCTGTCCCTGCGGAGTGTGCCGGGCCACGCGGCCCCATCTTCTTCCAAAGACAAGGAAGAGTGGAAGGAAAATGAGTCAAACAACAAGAGCAGGCTGGGGCCAYTGCTGCCAGCGCCTGAACTGGGGCCAAGAGCAGCCAGTGCCGCCTTTCCAACCGGGTACGGTGAGATGGGGGAGAAAAGGGATAAGAAAACAAAACCCAAAACAACAGCTTTCAAACAATTGCTTTTTACAGTATGTACAGAGCCCGGCGGGCAGAGCATCCCCGTACAGCGGCCCTCGGGGCCGGGTGCAACACGGACACACACAACCGAGACCGATGGCCCCTGTGTCCCCCGGCCAGGCAGCGGGAGAGGTGAGGGAAGAGCGGGGGCGGCCTGGCCGCTGCGGAGCCGAGGTAGAGTGTCGGCCTGGGGAGAGCCACTCTGGGGCTGGGGGCAGAGGACCAGAAAGCCCCTGTCCTTGGAGCTGGGGAGCAGCYGGAGTGGGGATCAGCTTCCTCCAGGACTTGCTGACCCCAGCCCCGGCGCGAGGCCAGAGCAAGGCCCAGCACGGCCCCACGTGCCTCTGGCAGAACCTAAGTGTGCTTGTTCCTCTCTGCGCCCTGCCTGCGGCCTGGGGAAGCCGCCTTGAAAGATAAAGGTGGATGAAAAGGGGAGCMACAGCCCCCCACAACAGGATGTGCTGTCCCGGGATTTGGGGGGCAGAGGAAAGGTTGGGATTTGCAGGGCTGCAGCTCAGAGACCAACTCAAAAGCTACAGGCAGAAGTTTCAGACAGGTCTGGACCATGCATGGCCCGGGGGGCCCTGGCAGCCTTGGGGGTGACAGACACAGCCCTTGGCTCTGAGATCCGCTGCCCCCAGCCCCATGGAGCCCCAGCCCCTGAGAGCAGATGCTGCTTTGCCAGGGCCAAGAGCTCCCCAGCCTGCTCTGGCCATCAGCCATGCGCTGGCAGCTCCTGCCCACAGGCACAGAGTGGTGGGTGTTGGACCAGATGAGGGACTGGGAGAGCCCCGTGGCTGCCTCTGGCCGGGCTGACACCCCCCCGACCCAGCTCRCAGCAGCCCCCTGACACCCACCAAGGCTCTGTGAGCCAGCCCTTCCTTTCCTGAGACTGTGGCCCCATGGCAGGCTTGGCCCTGTGCTCCAAGTGCCCACCTGCCCCCAGTCCTGTGGTGAAGCAGCAGCTCGCAGAGACACGGTGGGGTCCCAAATTCATCGAGAAACCTCAGTGCTTCTGTTTCCTCTTCATATGCACCAGGCGGGCAAGTCACCTCCACCCCGAGTGYCGGTGCCCAGTAGAATAAATATTCCCGCAGGTACCGGCTCGCCCACTCACCAAAGAGGGGTGTGGGGGGCAGTCACTGAGTGTCCGACYGGGGGAGAAGACAGAGTCTGCCTCAGATCGCGGCAGGAACGTCAAGCAGAACAATTAACACCATTCAACTGATGTCTAAAGGAGTCTCCAGCGCTTCCCCATGTGAGCCAGTCACATGTCTCGTATGGCCCAGGCATCCTGGCGTGTCACGTCCTGCCACGACCCAAGGGCAAGTCAGCTCCCACGAGCCTCGGGCCACGGGCAAACCCGAAACCCTTGAGGGCACCCCGTGAGCACTCATCCCGGCCACCCGCGGGAAGGTGCGGYGGGAGCAGAACCTTACCGTTCTCACCTCCGGGGAGGCGGGTACAGGGAAGGAGCGGAGCCTTGCTGGCTGGCAACGATGGCTGTGGACGAGAGACCTGCGGGGAAGAAGCGCTGTCAGGAGCCGGCAGACAGGGCCAGGCGCTCGCGGGGACAGCGCACGGGTCCCCCCCCCCGGGTCCCCCCAGCTCCCCCGTGCTCACCTGTTGCATAGGGCAGGTTGTACTGCGCCGGCAGCAGCGAGTAGCCGAGGTGGTGGTGGTGGTGATGCGTCGAGAGCAGGCGCTGTGAGGGTGACGTGCGGGGCCGGTCGCCGCTCCTCTCCCCTGCGCCCGCTGCCCCCACGCTGCTGCAGCTCCCGCCGCCTCCCACCACCCCGCAGCCGCCGCGGTCCCGCTCCTGAGACGTCTTCTCGCTTATCTGGAGAGGGGAAAGCAGACACGCTGAGGGATGWGACCGGCTACCCCGGCGCACATATTGGGATTATATTACCTCTGCCTTTACCCAAAAGCATCCCGTGAGGCTGATAGGAGGTGGTGGGATGGCCAAAAGCCATGCGGAGGATGCAGAGCCTGTTTGAGGACAACCCATTCCTCACTGTGTCCAAGCTCTGTCTCCCAGTTCAGCCCAGGAGGGGCTGTGGGATGGAGACAGCCCCCACATCCCACCTGCCAGCTCCAGGGCTGAGGACAAGTGCCACCTGGTTGCTGCAGGGTCTGGAGAAGTCCCAGTCCTGGGGCCCAGGTTTGGCCAGTCCATCCCAAAGGATGGAATACTCCATGGCTGCAGGTCTCCAACAGCAGCAGACACAGTAAAACCACACAGCAAGTGGAGCTGCTCCCACCTGGCTATACGATCCAGGGACTACCCACAGAGCTGGGCAAAGCCAGCGCCCTCCTGACCCTCACCGTGGGTGATTTGCTCTTGTAGTGGCTGGCGTGCTGCTGCAGGATGTCCAGGGCCTTGGACTCAGAGCTGGATTTGCAGCTCACRCTGGGGCTGGCTCGGGACTTGTCGCTGTCATCGCTGCCGGATGCCTTGCTCCCATACGGAGAGAAGGAATAGCTGGAGGGTAGGTATGATCCTGGGGGGACAAGAGCAGTCAGGACACCAGGAGCATTCAGGCAGCACAGGGGAGCATGTGGCTCTGGATGTGTGTGAGAGGATGTCCTGCAGCCACCTCCCACCCTGGGAGCAGGGACAGCTGGGACGGRACACCCCTGGATGCTCCCGGCTCCCTACCTGGGTAATTCTGCATCATGACGGTGGGCATGGCGCGGTAGCTGGGGTGGTTGGGGTCGTACGACTGGCTGTAGGAGTAGCCGTGCATGTAGGGGATGTAGGACTGATGCTGCGTGAGGGGGGAGGACACGGGGACGTGGACGCTGGGCCTGGGGTCCTTCCCCACCATGCGAGCCTCCTCAGTGGGGGTCAGCTTGCACTCGGAGCTGGTGCTCTCCTTCCCATCCTCCTTGGATGAGGCTTCTTTGCTTCGATTTCTTTCTTCCTTCAACTTTCGGTCCCGCTCCTCTTTCCACCGCTCGTCCTCTGTCTTGATGTCAGAGTACTTCGCTGGGTACACATAGGTCCACATCCGGGGCTCAGCTTCCTGCAAGAACAGCCAACCATCAGAGCAGCTGCCTCCCCCTGGCCCCGCCTTTCCCAAACCCAGGCTGGGTTTGGAGGAGACCAGTAAACCCCACTCCCCTTCCCTGGGCTATCCTTGGCCCTTCCATGACCTCCACTTCTGGCAAGAACAGCCAGCCACCAGGGCAGCTGCCTCTCCCCAGCCCCACCTGTCCCAAACCCAGGCTGGGTTTGGAGGAGACCTGCAAACCCCACTCCCCTTCCCCGGGCTCTCCCTGGTTCATCCATGGCCTCACAGCCCCATCCTTTTCCTGGCCCCAAGGGAATCTCATGGAGTCCCACCACAAGCAGAGGACAACACGTGTTCTCCAAGGTGATGGCCCCAGCAAAGCCCAGTGACAGGCCTCCAGGAGCAAACCCACGGCTGGGCTGGCAGACAGGGCAGGGTATTACCTGTCTGTACCAGAGCACAGGGTCCACCTCCGCTTGCCGGCCACACTCGGAGCCAGCCTTGGTCTCAGCCGTCTCCTTCCCAAGGTGACCAGCCTCACTCAGCTTCACCTTGAGCCCCTCGGCGACTTGGCTGCCAGACAGCTTGGACGAGTCCTCCAGCTTGGGGATGATGACAGATTTGGCCATATCAGGACCTCCCTGCTCCTTGGGCTTGCTCAGCCCTGACTTGACGAGGTCTGTGAGGCTCGGGGCCTTGGTCAGTGTCGGGGGCATGGGTGGCTTCTGTTTCCACTCCTCTTTGAGTGCCACCTCCCTCTCTTTCAAGCCCAGCTCCACCTTCTTATCCAGCCCTCGCTGCTGCTGCTGCTCAAGRCTCTGCCGCTGCTTCTGCTGCTCCTCATACTGCTGGCGGTAGGCAGGGTTGGTGCTCAGCAGGTGAGCGTGGTAGCCCTGCTCGTTGTAGCCATAGGGGGGCACATAGGCATACTGGTTGTAGTAGAGGGACTGCATGTACATGTTGGGGCGCTGCTGGATGACCGAGGGCTGCTGGCTGGAGCCGCTGCCGAGCTCTGCCTTCTTCTCTTCACAGCCTTCGCTCTTCACCTTCACCTCCAGGTTCTCCTGCTCCTCGTCCTTCTTCAGTTTCAAGGCCTGCGTCTCAGCCGCAGACTGCCCGCTGGGGTTCAGGGGCCCCGGGCTGGCCTGGGGGTAGCCAGGGGAGTAGTAGGTTTCAAAGCCTTGGTAGTAGGGAGACTCTTTGCTCTGTGGTTGTGGTGGGAAAAGAGCTTTCTTGGCGCCTTCCTTGACCAGCTGCTCCGGATCCTTTGCCTTCATGCTCTCCAGCTTGCCCTCCCCATCCTCCCCAGCGTCGGAGATGTCGGAGTAAGCTGGGCTGTTAGTCTTCACTGAGCTGGCCTCTGCCCCGTTCTGGGTGACAACATGCAGCGGGGTCAAGGGCTGGGCTGGGGTGGTGTTCTCCAGCCTGCTGGCACCGCCGATGGARGGGCTGGGTGCATTGTCGGTGAAACTGTAGATTTTATCCGCCTCAGCCTTGATGCTGGCGAGCCGGCTCTGGTGGGGGTCAGATGAGCCGTTCAGGAGGCCCTCGCCTTTCATCCCCAGCTCACTGGATTCCCCCCGGAAAGGGCTCTTACCTTCCTCCGCTCTGCAGGCTTTGCCAGGAGTCAAAGGGTTTTCCACCTCTTTGGGCTCTTTCTTCTTCTTGTCTTTCTTTTTCTTCTCCTTGGAAGGGGTGAGGGCAGGGTTGACGGCRAAGGGCTCTCCCATCACCGTTGGCTTGGGCTGGATGGGTTTGAGCTGGGGGCTGTTGGGCATGGTCTGGACCACGGTTGTGGCAAGGCCACCGGAGGAGACAGGGCTGGCTGTGGTAAGCGTGGCAGTCTGGAAGGTGTAAATCGGCTGCGGGGGGATGGCTGGTGCAATGGGTCTGGCCGACTTCAAGCTTTTGGAAGGGATYTTCTCCTGTTTAGCACCAGAGGCTTTCTTTGACTTGTCCTTATCAACGCATCGTTTCTCCAGAGAGTCAAAGTCGTCATTACTCGTCTCATCAGCCACCGAAGGACCGTCCTCAGAGCCGTCATTGGACAGCGCACCCGGGTCTGTGTCCCCTTCCCCACCCACCTTCTTCTTRCAGGGAACCTTGGCGCTGAGCTTGCTGGATGGGGAGGGGCTGTGGGGCTCCATCAAGCGCACCTTGGGGGTGGCCGAACGAGCGGGTGAGAGCGAGCCCTTTTGTGAGCCGGCGGCACCATTGCAGCTCCCAACGTCGGCGTGTAGGGAGGGCTCCTCACCATACTCACTGTCCACATCCGCCTCCAGCTTGCTGTCATCATCCGTGTGTGCGTGGGCCTGGTGGTATTTCAGCCCATTGATGTGCTTGTACTTCTTGTTACAGTTGGGGTGGGGACAGTCGATGAGGATGGGAGAAGGGCAGTTGCGGTCCAGGACAGCCGGCTCCACTTTGACCGTGGCTGGTGGCACCGTGGCTGAGCCCATCGAGTTTGTGCGGATGCGTTTGCTGCCCTTGGAGTCCTCTGAGCTGGAGTTCAGCTCCATGTCAGAGAGGGGTTTGCTCTTCCGCTTGGTGACGGAGGAGGGACTGGCCTTCACGTCCTCGGCGGCGCCGCCAGGCGGGGTGCGGTGGTCCGAGGAGTTCTGGCTGCCCCGGCGCCCCTTGCTGTTGGCTCCCGCCCGGGTCTTGCTGCTGTTGCTGGTCCCTTTGCTGTCCGAGGCAGCAGCTGTCTCGTTGACCGGGGTGTTGCTGTTGGGGCGCATGCGCTTGCCCCTGCCCCGGCCGTTGCGCATCTCCAGGTCACTGGTGGGAGAGTCACAGAACCTGCAGGGAGGAAACACAGAGCTTTGAACCGAGACAGGGCYGTGCTGGGCTGTGCCATGTCCAAGGCACAGTGGGGCCCCCCTTACTCCCTCAGCACCAATCCTGCAGACTTATTCTTCCCTACTAACCGACAAAGAGGAACCAGAGAGATCYCCTGGGATGTGCTCAACCATCTCCAGTCCCCAGAATAAGGGATGTGTGACTGCAGCAGCAAAGAGTCATGGGAGCCGCTGGGTTGGGCGAAGAGGAGATGCCAACCCCCGTGACAGCCCCAGGGCACAGGGCAGACTATCCTGGGTGCCAGGGAGGCCACACAGGGCTGGATTTGCCCTCAGCAGTGGGAACCCACCAGAGTCCCCTGCCCACTTACCGGGGAGGTGCCCAGTCATGCTGCGTGCAGTCCAGCAGTGTCCCCACGTATGTCTTGTTCCTCCAGGTGACGTTGACCACCAGCATCCCTGCAAGGCAAGGGAAAAGGGTCAGACGCAGCTAGGTGTAACCCCACAGTACCAGGAACCTGTCCCTCAAGACAGGCAGGAGGAAGAGCTCGGCTCTGGGGCTGAAGGGTGGTGGACATGGGGTCTTGGGCTCTCAGAAGAGGTGAGATGTAGGGCCCAGGGCTGGAGAGGCACCAGGATGGGAGCTGGGGACTCCCAGCTCATCCCTTCCCTTGGTATGGCTCACTTAACGTCTCTTCCTGTTCCTCGCTTTCATGGGTATGTTAAAACCCAGTGACCCCCACAGGGCTGTGGGATTTCAGGGACGACCTGAAGATCCAYATTTGATCCATGTGTGCTCAGGTAGAGTAGGGAAGGTGATCTCTGTGGGAAAAGCGCTGGTGAAGCCCTTGAGGGAAATGCAGAAAGCCACCAGGAAGGCTGTGGAGCCCCAAGTGGAGCTGCAGACACCCCAGCAGGCCATGAACCATGAACCAGCATGGTTGTGAGCCTCATGACCTCCAGAAAAGGCTGTTACTGCCACTAGATGGCAAGCTGAGCCCAGCATTCCCACTCAGGTGACTGTCCCTGACAGGAAAACTCTATCCTGGTGGAATAACCTTGTCACCCTGCGCCGGTTTGCTCCAGCACCTCCAGGGACATCCCTCTGCCTAATATTTCCATCTGGAGAACCATCCCTGGAGCCACATCTTCCCATCACAAGGCAAAGTCACTGAAAATTCCRAAAATTTTGGAGTTTCAGCTTTTCCACACTAATTCAGAAGAGGAACTGCCTGGCTCACACCCATGCCGAGGCCATGGACCTCAGCCCCTCTTTTTGGAGGCAGAGGGGTCTTCCACAGAATCCCTCAGTGTTGGGGTATCTCCTCCCCTGYTCTGATTTCCACACAACTGCGAAGCAGAGTCCATGTATCCAAGCAAGCTAAAACTTGGGAAATAGGAAATGGGTTTGCAAGGGTTGATGAGCGCAGGGAGATGTACAGCCCCAGGAGATGGATGGAGCTGAGGGAGCCCGGAGCAGCTGTGCCTGAAGCATGTTTATAAATCTCAGCCCACATCCCCCGTTGTGCTGTGCCAGCAGCCAGCTGCAGGCTTCGGCTTCGGCATGGATAATAATAATACATGGAGCCGAGGCCCAACACGTGGGGCTCCTTCAGAAAGAGAAATGTAATGCAGACCTTCTCTTTCTCCTTTTCYTCCCGGAAAATGTTGGGAGCAGGTCATGGAAAGACATGGTGCCAGCACACGGCCAAGAGCCACAACCAGCTCATTGCAGTGAGCAAGAGAAGCTGGGCCCTGCCTCCCTGCCTTAGCACAGCCATGACAACCGAGGGAGAAAACAACTGCTGGGAGCCCATGGCCCCAMACATGAGAAAACTGATGGGAAGAATGGGATGCTGGTTCCAGGCATCCCAAAGGGGCTCACGGAGTGTGGTCTCCTGCTCCTCCTAATGCAGCGCTTTTCGGCAGGCAGGAGCCTGTCCTCCTTTCCTTAAAACCCAAAGAAGCTCCTGGCTGCATCCTGCACCCCAACCCATCCCCACCACTCCCAGAACACCTCCGGGAGCTGCTGTGGGATGTTCCCTGGCAGCCACTGAGGGACAAGCAGCACTAACCCAGTCTCTATCTCTCCCAGTTCCTGTGCTGTCCCCACAATTCAATCATTCTTTGAAGCCAGAGAAGATCACRTGCACCACTGGACTTAACTGCACGACAAACCACTGGAGTCTCTTGTGCATTCCAGGGCCCGTGTGCAATATTAGAAAGGAAATGCTGGCATTTTTTCCACCCTGATACCAGTCACAAGAGAGAGATGAAAGAGGAAGGGGCAAAGCAAGCCAGCACCGTCCCTCCTTCCCTGTTGGAACACCAGCCCTCCAACACACACCAGCCTATATTTAACCCACTGCAACCAATCATACCAAATCCCTCCTAATCCTCCAACAATAACCCAGGACAATTTAAACCCCGGGATAGATCCTAAGCAGCTTTTTTCACCCGCTGTGTCCCCCTCCCGTGGCAGAATGATGAGCAGGCACAGGCGTGACAAGGGTGGCAGCAAGGAGGCAATGCCCTCATGTCTCTGAGAACAGAGATGTTCTTGAACTGGAGGAATCCCACTTGGCTAACTCCTGTCCCACATGGTTTCATGGGAAGGTGACATCTTTGAAGCTCTTAAGSAATGGATACCTCTCAAATCTGGGCACAAACCACTCAGCATCCTAGTTACTAAGTATTCACACCAGACTTGTATCCTGGCTGGAAAGTTTAAAGGTGCGTATGGTACAAACTTGCCATGAAGGAAGGCAAACATASGAGAAAATCCCAGGATTAGAYGGGATGGAAGACAATGCTGCTGTGKCACCAAGAACCACATTGAGGCACATTTTCCCCTTTTCAAAGATTAATCCCCCAAGCCCAACCAAGAACATGTCCATGAATTGCTCCTTCAGCTGCATCACTTCCAGGATGCCCTGACTCTGGSATGCCCCTTCTTCCATTAATTTTTTCCCCAGTTGCATCATCTTTGAGATGATCTTCATCATTTCCCCTCCCCCTGCATCACTTTCAGGATACTCCAGATTTTCAATAAACTCTGCCCATGTGCAGAGATCCCACCTGACCCGTAGTGCCCAGGCTTTGGGACACAATACTCAAAGGTGTTCTAGGCCATCATGCTTCTGGCAGGAGACRGGGGACACCACAGGACTGGGGATGGCCAGCACAATGGCCACCTCACCCAGTGAGGAGACATCAGTGCCCAATTACCATCACAGGCAAAAGAGAAATTAATTTAATTTATTGCCAATCAAATCAGAGTAAGGTAATGAGAAATAAACCMAAATCTTAAAACATTTTTCCTGGCATCTTTCCAGGCTMAGCTTCATTCATCCCCAAAAGTGTTCAAGGCCAGGTTGAATGGGACTTGGAGCAACCTGGCCTAGTGGAAGATGACCCTGCCCATGTCAGGGTGTGGAATGAACTGGGCTTTAAGGTCACTTCCAAAACAATCCATTCCTCAGTTGTGTGATTCWAAACTTGATGCAAGCCAAGAGCTGCTCCATTGCCCTGGGGTCCTGCCAAGCAGTCCAATGAGGCTGCTACATCCCAAGGAGCAAAGGGAGAGATGCATCCCTYTGGATGAAGTGCTGAGATCCCTCTGGAGATCCTGAGGAGAGTCTCCAGGTGCTGCAAGCACCCCATCTGKCTTCACAGACAAGTCCTTGGTGTAGCTTTCTCCTTTGTACACTTGGGCAAGGGGACATGCTTGCTGCATCCCATAATGTTTCACAAGCTCCGGCTTCTAACAGCCATATCAAACATCACCCATGACTCCCTCCATCTTTGGCAATGGGAGGGCAGGGAAGAGATGCCGGGCAAAAACCAGGGATGATTCCCTGCCTTTTCACTCGAGGASAAGAGATGCCATGTGACCGGAGCCAAAACCAGAAGCGACCAAAGGCAACATCAGGGCTYGCCTTGTGCAGGGCTGGATGTGAAATCCTTGGTCCTGACAGTGGCAACCATCAACAGCCATCAGAGAAGGATCTCTGTGCAAGTTCACTGAACTACCACAGACTAAAAATACCCGGGCTGTGGGAAATCACAGGACGCCTCCAAGGCACGCTCCGAAATGGTGCCTGTGGAAGCGAGGGGTAATGAGGACGGACAGGCAGACATGCACAGAGCTCTGTGGTGGGGTGAGGAGCAGGAGAAAAGGGAAGGGAGAACAGCAACCACTCCTGCGGCACTGCCTCTCAACCAGGAACTGGCAGGGAGGGATGCTTTTGTGCTCCCTGACTCAGGGATGCCCAGTTCATTCACACCRTTGACCCTCTCCTGATTTCCACCCAAAACCCCCATATAAGGGCCTAGCTGTCATCAGCTTTGCTGCTGCCCAAGGGGGTCTCCAGCAGCCCTGGGATTTTCAGGGAACTCTGCAGCTCCAGGGCTTTTGGGTTGAGGGAAGTTACATGGGGACAGCAGGCTGATGGGACTGGGGAGATGGGGGAGCCCCACAAGCAGAGGGGGCCAATRCTCCTCTATGCTGCTGTGTGTCCCAAAACCCAGCCCTGCCATGCTTCCGCAGCTGAAGGTGTTGCACTCTATAAAGTGATCAGGCTCTTGGAGACACTGATCATGCAGTGCTGGGGAAGTGGCAGACCAGTGCAGACCTTCTGCAGGTTTCTTTGGAGCAGATCCACCTCGCAGATCCCCTGACCCTGGGATGCACAGAGTAGAGCTCCTGAACTCTCCTGCTTTGTGTTGCCTTCTCACAGATTTTATATTGTGTGACATCCTTCTGCCTCGGGGCAGCAGAAAAAAACATGCAGCTCCCAGCCGCCTCAATCTGGTGAATTTTTTCCATACAGAATGGACAGTAAAGTGGAGTGTGGAGGTCCCCATCCCAAGCTAGACATCACAGTCTTCCCCAGCATGGTCCATCCACTGCTCTCTTCCCAAAGAGCTCAGGTGCTATTTCACCAAATTGTTCCAAGGGGAACAATTYCAGTGCTCACACTGGGGCTTACTGCGATCCTGAGCCAGTTTCAAAACCAGTTTCCCAGTAGGAAGAGAGAAAAGGCAAACTGGGCCCACCACCACCTTCCCAAAGCATGGGACAAGAAGAGCACCCCAATGGAAGCAGCTCGTGGGAATGGAGGTTTCAGTTCAGCTTCCATCACAGATAACAGAGTCTYAGTGAGGAGTGGCTGGGATAAAGGCCAACAGCTTCATTCTCTGCACAGAACAGCGACGGAAGAGTGGGAGCAAATGTCCAAGAGGACTGCAAGGACAYCTGGCTGAGATGATCCATAGGACCCATCAACCAGCCTCCACCAGTGCTGCTGTCCTCACCTTTGTGCTTCTGGGCAATTTCTGCTTCCAGACACAAATACAAGGAGCGCACCCCACGCCTCCCAAGGCAGAAACCTCTGGCATCCCACTGAGGCTGGAGGGAAGGCCAGGTTCCAGCACTCGCCGTGGGCTGCTGAGCCACCTATTCATCCCTGCATTCCTTGGCAGAGCCCCAAGAGCAACGAAAACCCATCAAAGGACCTGGGAAAGCAAACCAAGCTGTGCAYGGATGAGATGAGGCTCCAGCGGAAAAAAAAGATTGGATTGGCTTGGCAAGAGAGCCGAGAGGCTGATCTCCCACTGAGTCGATTTTGAGAGCTCTGCTGGGGTTTTTTAATCCAGCAGGAGATTTCTGCTGCCTCCCAGGGTTTGAGCGTTTTTGTGACAGACCTGCGGGTTGCCAAGCAAAAATGAAGTCAACTCTGTTGAATTCCCGTGCCGGCTGGCACGGCCTTTCCCCTGGCACCTCCAGAACAAGTCAGCTCTTGTCGAAGGGCAGAGAAATGGCAGCTTAGATTTTCGCCTGCTGTATGGGCAAGGGGATAAAGCAACACATGGGGCTGRCTCAAGTACTGGCCCATTAGTCCCTTTGCTGGACAGATTATGGGCTGTACCCACACAGCATCTCTGTCCTGACCACCCAACTGGCRGCAGGAAAGCCCAGGACGTGTCAACAAATGACACAGCAGGGACATGGGAAGGAAGGGACTGCCATAAATCCCCGTGACACTGTCGGAGAGTGGCAGAAGCTCTGTGACACTCACCATCCTCCGTCTCCTGCCAGACGATGCCCTCCAGGTTCACRCTGGTCCCAGGCTCGCAGGGGCCCAGGCACTCAGGCTCGGTGGCCAGGGCCACATCGCAGGTGTTCACCCCCACGGAGCGGGTGCGTACCATAATCTGCTCACACGGCGACGAGATGTCATTGTTGACGACGGGGACAAGGAGGTGCAAGGGCAACACCGCGGGCGTAGAGACCGGAGACTCCATCTGTGGGAAAAAAGAAACACGTGGTCACCTTCAGGAATACTGCTGGGAACACAGATGGGAGAACAAGTACCAACAGGCATTTTCCTTCCTGGAGAACCTCAAGCTCAGGGCTGCCAGCCTCTGGTTTCCGTCCCACACCCCATCAAAGGACAAGGATCTCACAGGGCTCTCCCACCCTGGTGTGCCCATACCCACGCAACCTTRGGGAGCTCTGCAGTCACAGAGATCACGCCCAAAAGTCCTTATGCAGGAGATATCTRTGCTCCTGCTTGAAAGAGCTTTTGCCAAGTTCCTTCCCTGACAGCCTCTGCAATCACCCCCAGTGAGGATGCCTCTTGGCTATGGCTCAGATGTTAATRCAGACAATGACTTTGGACCCGGTGGCTAACTAGAAGAGCTTCTGCTYAACTGGCAGGACAGGACAAACGAGTAGCAGACTCCCTCCAGCACCCATGAAACCAACATACTTCTCCTTCCAGATCTACCCTGTGACTACCTGAAGACACAGGCCCTTGGATCATACCCCTCTTCCCTATACAWGTACCTGCTTCAGAGCCTGATCCAGCCATTGTGCTCTCTTTGCATATGGAAACCAGACCCCACAGCCAGAGYTGAGCTTGGAAAGCCAACAAGCCAATGTGCCAAGTGGAAACCCGGCCAAGCCACTCTGTTGCTGAGAAGCCAAGGTCCGTGGCCGCTCTGCCATGCAAGCAGATTACAGCAGTGTCAGGAGGAGGATGGTTGATGGGCTGATTGTGTGGTGGCCAAGGCAWGGGCAGGGTGGAGACCTTCCCATCCTTCAGGGTTCATCAACCAAGCCAGCCACAGCCAGCCACCCCCGCACCTTGGCTTGTGAGGACCTGCAGCAGCTCTCGGGTGAGTGGCTGGCTCCTCTTCAGCTCAGACCTCCTCTCCTCACCATTTGGGATATTCAGACACTGGGCTGCCTCAGAAGAGAAGCAGACTGAGCGGCAAGTTCTCACCTGGGTTCCAGGTCCAAGCAGGGTAAGATCCCTCTAGAGCACCCAGTGCTACTCCCAGAGTGCCCCKAAAATCTCTGCTGAGGGAAAACATGATAGACTTGGAGAGCCCAAGTTTGTGGTTATCAAGTGTGGACATGGGCACCAGTCCATGATCACTTCCAACCTTGCTGCTGGTCCTCAACAGCTGCCAAATTTGCCRGCTCCCTCTCTTGCTCACACACGTCCATCCTTTAAGCAAGGGAAACAACTCCAGCAGAACCTTGCAAGTCCACCCTCACCTGCCCCACGTGATACAGTGCCCACAACCGCAGCAAGATGCCTGGAGCATCCCACCTCCCCACCAACTCCTGACCCCAGAGATCCTCTCCACATCCCTGGTGACACAAATCTATAGGCAGAGGAGCAGAGAAGAGGGCATCCTRGCTCTGACAGAGCAAGTGGATTTGSTCTTCCAGCRGGAAAACACAAAGCACCTTCTGTCTACAGCCCTCTCCTTGTCCTGTATCCATCTTCTCTTCAGACAGCTCGTCAGAGCACATGCAGCTCACTCAGCACTAAAGATGGCCTGGAGGTCTCAAGCAGCAGTGCCTGGACTCTACAGTCCCCTCTCCAGCAGCACAGCTTGTGATCCACAACCACCTCCAATCTCCCACTAACAGGATCAGCTCTTGCCCAGGAGTCCATCTCCAGACCACCCACCTTTGAGGCCGTCCCATGGCCAGTGGCCCAACTGCATTCCATGGCATTCAAAAAGGGTGGTTTTGGTAGAAAGCAGCCCCAGGAGGCTGCTAGAGGAGCTTCCTGAAGACTCCAACAGGCAAATCACCCCCCAAAACACAGCAACCACATCAGCAGATCCAGGCAAGATGCTCCGAGGAAGCATGAGGCTTCTTTGAAGGAGTTCCTCAGCACCACATTCTGCAAACCACAAGGCAGTCTCCAGCAAAGGAAGAGCCAAGGAGGAAACAGGCAGGGCTGCCTGCCTTGAGTGGGCAGCAGGAACAGCCCAGGGGGTGGCGGAGACCGCTCACCCCCATCACCCCAGCAGCTGTGGCTGCGTGTGCATATTGGGGACCTGCGGGTTCTGAGACAGTTCAGCTTCCTTCCACTCTGCAACAGAAACCACAGTGCAGCACAGGAGCGTTTAATTACAGTTCCAGCTCTGCTAATTATCGCCCGGTCACATCCGTAATCTGCATTATGCCACGGTGCATAATAAGCAGCTCGCTGAGATCTCTCTAATAAGCGAGGCAGCTTGATGGGATTTCATATCTCACCCTGCTCTGGAACAAACAGCCTCTTTCAGCAGCCGTGGGGAGACAAGGCAGCCCTCCTGCTCCCTTGCCCAAAGCTCCAGAGCAAAATAAAAAGGCCCAGGGTGGTTCTTCAGGGGCGAGGGCAGGAACAGATGTTCCCCACTGGGACACAATCGAAGAAAACTGAAAGCCTTGCTGCARGAAAAGACAAATGGATCAATCCCTGAAATTCACCTCCCCCTCTACATGTGTTTTATCTCCTGGTGCTGTGGTCTTTTCACCCTCCTGCTTTCCAAGCAAGGTCAGGAGATGCAGGATGGCTGGGAGAGCTCTGTGTACCATGGGTCAGCTCTGTCAGCTGCTCTTCCCCTCGGTSGGCACGCAGCTTCCTCTGCCCAGGGAGCCCAGGGCAATGCTGGCCTGGGGGTGGTGGGCAGCACTCACACCCCACAGCAGKAGCTTTCATATCACCTCCAGGGCTGTGCCAGCTGAGATCCCCAGTTCCCAAAGCGAGCCCTGAACCTCCTGACCACCCCCTTACCACTTCTGGGCTCTAAATCCCCCTTGCAGAAGGATATTTTATTTCTCTTTCCAWGCTGGGTAGGCTCTAAGATAAAATATCGGCTACATGCCGACTGCTGGAAGGGGCTGGTGTGTCTGCAGCCACCCCCTGTGTGAGTTAYATGAAGCTTCCCCGTGCCGGCGCTGGCCATCCGTGTCCGCCCGCCGCTGCCTCCTCTAATGAAAGTCCTTTGTGTTTCTGGCGGAGGCCTTCCCATCACGAGGAACGTGCTTTCACCACYGCCGAGGACAGAAGTGGAACGGAGCCAAGCCTGGGCGGCAGCGGCCAGCACAGGCACTGCTCGATGGGGGAAAAGCAAATCCACTGAGAGTCTGGGATGACGCTGATGGTGCCGTGGGATGCAAAGCTCCAGGGGGAAAATGAAAACTTACCCGTCGTTATAGCCCCCTGGAAGGTGGGACAGGGTCCCACTGAAGGGAAGCATGGCAGTGGGTGCTGGAATGGAAAGATGCAYACAAAGCACTTCCTGCCATCTTAAACAGCGCTGGTTCCTTAGCATCAGCTGTCCTCAAGGGGACATCACAGCAGCAATTATTAACAGGAGGGGATGAGAGAAGAGTAAACCAGAAATAAAAGCACCCCACTGATTTTAATGCCACTCCCTGGACCATCCAGACCACCCATTCATATTTATGAGAATTTTGGTTTGTCCTCAATAATCAAAGTAAGGCAAGAAAAGTGCATTTTTGAGCAATAACAGCAAAAAGCGATGCCAAAACCCTTGAGAAGGGCAACCAACAGAGATATCTGTAGTCCAAGGACAGAGAGGATGTGAAGGTGTAGGGGACCCTCAGAGCTGCACGCCGTATGTCAGCCAGGACCTTGCAGAGCACAGGGTGAGACCACCAAAGCTTCTGAGATGGTTCTAGGCTCCAGTGTATCCCCATGTGAAGAASCTATGTAGCACGTGGACCATTTTTCTCACCTACAATGTTCTGTCACTCCTGCAGACACAGAGACAACCAAAGTCAAGAGGGAGCYTCATTTCTGGTCACAAACTCATGGCTGTGTGTGTCAGGAGACAGAATATGGACCAGAACTGAAACGTTACAGGAGCGCTGCTCAAGGCTGCAGCCAACACATCCCACATCACTGACCAGCTCAGCCCAACCTTGGAAGCTTTGACRTTGTCACTTCTGTCCTGCTCTGTCACCACATCCCCCACAGCTTTSCTTTTCCACAGTAGGAGCTGGGAGATCACCAGGGAGCAGATCCATCCAGCTGATAAGCATCTTTGATGGGCATCTCCAAACCCCAAAACCATAGAACCCACAGTGTCTCTTCCCCTCTGCTGACCTCGGGATTTCAGAGTCTTCTCCAACCTGACCCTAAAGCCGGGTATGCCAGAACCTGAAGACAAAATCCCTTCAYTGTCTCTGATGCCCAAGTAGAGCAAGTAGAGCTCCCAGTCACGTCCCCCAGCAACATCATCCCAACACACTGGAGGTACTCAACCCCAGGCCATGTGGAACAGGCTCCAGAAGATCCCTCCCCAAACAGTGCAGGTGCCACTCAACACTGACTGTTTGCTGGCTGCGTTTCTCCTGCAAGAAAGCAGCCAACAAGAGCTTCCAACAAACACCCACAGGCAGGGAAATAATGATGGCACAAGCGTCAGGTCCAAGGACCGAACCAGGAGTGTGGTCTGGGACACTGATCCCAGTGCTGTTGCCCGTTGCTCTTCCCTCTTGCTATAGTGAGGAGGTTGAGGTCACTGACACTGAGATGTGAGAAAGGGTTCTGCTCTAGAAAAGTCTCCCTTCCCTGGATAAAAACCAGCTCAGATAAACAAAGCCAATTATTTCTACAGACCACAGGAACACGCTTGGGGAATATACTGGGTTCCTTAGCTGGTAAATCTGAGCCCATAGGGCAACAGGGCAGTTGCTCCATGGAAAAAAGATTGACATTTCTGACAGCGCCCCTATCAAGATGCAGTAAATGCCACAAGGAAGGAGTAATGATTCCATGTGCTTCCATGTGTGCAGAATGGAGCAGGCTCAGCATCACACTCCCTGAGTTTGCTCCACAGAGAAAACAAGCAAGTGTGGGACCTCCTAGCCAGCACCACCACCAAAGAACCAGGCAATCTGGGTGGGAAGCAAGGATTTTTAAGAAGCAGAGGTCCCAATTTCCCAGCCTCAGGGTTCTTAGCATCCAAAACCAAACCAAGAGAGG